GTGAGCTGCAGCGTCAGATTGCGCAAGACACGAGTCTCTCCGTAGCAAAACGTCGCCGATTGGAAGACGATACCGGGCGACGTCAGCGGACCGGGCGTCACGGGCACGTACTCGTCGCGATCGAAGAAAGCTTGCAGCCGGTCAAAGCTCACTTGGGCCTCGACGAGCGCTGTCATGGCCGACGGCAAGTTGAGAAGCGGGCTCCGAATGGTTTCAAACAGCGCGATGCTCGTCAGCGCCGTCCCGAGGTCTAGCGAGTGGCCGAGGTACACGTACAAACCAAACGCCGCGATCGTGACAGCCGATGGCACGGCGTTGAAGATCGTAGCGCCAATAGCCTTGGTCGTCGCATACCGTTGCAGCTGTGCGAGCTCTCGTTCGCGGTGTTGGAGTAGCGTGCTCATAAACGACGGCTCCCACGCCTCGAGTTTGAGTCCCTTGATGCCGCTTAGGACTTCAGCGACTGCTCGCAAGCGCGTGTCCTTGAACGTCATGAGCGGGCCTTGGCACGTCCGCGTGATCGTTGTCAGCATCGACATCGCCGGAATGAGCAGGCAGAGAACGCCAACGCCGCCAAAGAACGCGACGCCGAGCTCGTTGTACATGAAGACGCACGTGACGGCGATCTGCAGCGGTGTGTACCAGAGACTGTGCGCCGCGTTGACGAGCCATTGAAGTCGAGCCGCATCCACGCTGATGAGCGTCGCCACATCCCCCGCCGAAGCAGTCGACACGAGGCGCAGCGTCTTGTCGTAGACCGCCATGACGACGGCCGACCGGAGCCGCAGCCCGACCTTGTAGCACACAAAATAGTAGTGCCGAAGTGTCAGCGATTGCAAAATGCCCGACGTAACCACGGCGAGCGTGTACGACACACCAATCGAGAGCGGTTTTGAGGACGCACCGAGGTACGCGACGAGGTGCTTGAGCAAGAGGGGCCCGGTGAACTGGAGCGCGAGATGGACGACCTTGAGGACACCCGCAAGAACGATTGGCCGCGCGTAGCCGCGGGCAAAGGCGCGATAAAGTTTAGGCGACGGCGACGATGACTTCTCGCGCGCCCACTGCGTATGAAAGATACTGGCGGCGGTCGTCGCGCGGTCGGCGGGGTTGAGGCGAAAGAGGTCGTCCAACTCGAGCGGCCGGGCATTCCCGAGGGTCAGCAGCGGCGTGAGCCATGAGAAGAAGACGGTGCTCCATAG